TGGATGCAGTAATTCATGAACTGCTTACTCAGACTGTAGTTGTCCAAGTCAAATAACTGAGCTAAGCATGCATTTAATGATTTACGGGATTTGTTTGATGATCTTAGAATTACTTAATAATCATAATGCAAAAGCTGCACGGAAACTCACATTCTCCCCTATGGTCCTTAACAGCAAAAGCTTCAGATTTAGCCTCACGCACACGAATTCCCTCACAGTATCCAGGAGCAACCTTCAAGCCAAGCCTGAACTTTCTACTTCTAATCCAGCTAGAATTGTCAGTGAAAGTAAGATCTCCTAGAGTTCCCACCCCATCCTTGAGGGTTACCTGCAAATCCCCAGTCAAAATTGGCCTTTTCCCCTCACGCTCTTTTACTTCAAAGCTTTCAAAGTGCTCTTTAGTCCAATCCTCATCAGCTTCCTCATTGAAATCACCTTCAAGCACTACAACACTCACTTTGGCTGTTGACTCTGGTCCAGTTTGAACAACAGCATCGGAGTTTGAATCTAGCAAGACAACATGGATGGCTGCTCCTTGCTCTCCCTCAACCTTCCCACCTGTGAAAAGATGTGGTGGCATTCTTGTCCTGAAATGAAGCTGTAGGTTTCTTCCATCCCCACTTTGTATCATTGGCGGTAAAGACCTATCATAGGCAGAGATGATACTCATTACTTCACTAAGATGTCAACGTCTATCTTTTAAACCTAGAAATATCCAATCCAAGATTTTGTTAAATTACACATTTCATTGCATATTCCCAATAAATATGACATAGAAGACTTGTTTTTTCTGTTAACATCCCCAGGAAATTAAGTAACAAGGATAAGCTTCAGATCTTCATGGTCAAGAATGCCCTCAGATTTATGGCCAAAAAAAAATAAAAAAACAACAACAACAACCCTCAGATTACTCTGCACCCAATATGTGGTAAAACAACGAGCATCACATTGATGATCAATCTAACAGAATAAAAGAGACTCTAATTCAGTGTCCAAATGTGGATGTAGGAACCAACCTTCCAGCTAATTTAGCATTTCCCAGTCTTGCCAAAGCACACTCCACTTCTTCACTAACCTGTCATTCATTCAAAAGAGGATCAATAAAAGCCAACTTGTGATACTTAAACCATACAATCATGCAGTTCACTTGCAGTGAAACCAAACAGATAAAATAATCCTCTGGGAAAAAGAAGAGGCAAAAGGCCGAAGTAACAGCATTGTGGTTGATGAATCATCTTTTTGGAACACCATGCAAGCAACATTTTTCCCATGCCTAACTACTAATGCTTATAAGAGTTTTCAACTCACAATTCTGCGGAGCAGCGGCTCCAAAGATGAGCAAAGTCTTTGCAAACTATCCACCTTCAAGGCTTCCACAACTACACTGCAAAGTGCAAATACACCAATTCATGCATCAAGAAACAGATTCATGAGTCCTCAATTCTACTATGATCGAGTTCAGATGCACATGGATCAAATCCAATCTCAAACATTTTCGTGAAACCTTTACATCTATCCCTGCTGATCGAACTTGATCAAAGTCAACTAAATCATAGCCAAATTCGATCGAAAAACAGACACTTTCAAGTAACCAGAAGCAAAGCTGACATTTTCACTCAAGAAAAACACATACAACGAAGAACACCCATCAACAAAAATGTAAAAGAAGTACCTAGCCAACGCCGGCAGCTTTTGTTTCTTCGATTCCGGTGCGTTCTCTGCATCCTCCGCGCCATGGCCATACCCTCTCTTGTTCCTCGAATTTTCCATCCAGAGACTTTTCCACTCCTTCTATTGTTTCTAAATTTAGAAAAGTAATAAAAACCCAAGAAGCTTCAAAGAAGAAAACCACTGAACATATAACTCGAAATTTTGCTTGACCGTGCTTCAAACGCTAAAAATCAGATGCAAGATGACATTTTTGGATCTGGGTATTGAACAAATAGGTCATATTTCAAGGAAGGAAGATCTGGGTTTTCTCTGTTTTATGGGTAGATCTGGATTCGTCTTTGCTCTATGACTGATTATTATAATGGGGTTTATCTATGTCCTAGATCTTTAATTCAAAAACACAGCTGTGTGGAGAGTTAAGTCTTGACTTCATGAACGCTGTTGAAAGAAAGCGCGTTTTCTTTTGTCTCTTTATCTGCCCAGGATGCGGAATTTGACTGGTTTTTGATTTGTCCTTCTGGAAGCAAAGTCAATGCAGGTCCACATATCCATTTGGGTCCCTGTGAATATCCATCTGATCTGGGTGACTGGGTCCTTGGCTGATATTTACGCGGTTTGTTGTTTGGATGGCATGAAAACTGAACAGAGAATGCAAGAAACTTCGAAAATTGAAAAATCAGTTCGCTATTCCAGTGAGGAACAGTTTACTTGTGGATGTGAATTAAATCAACTTTATGATTTAATTTGGGTTTTTGTTTTCTTCAGCAGAGAAAATGGGATCCATAATTCGCAAACTTGGGAATCAGGGATTATTAACGTGTTTAGTAACCTATGAAAATCAATAGAAGTTGGAATGAAAATACTGAAAATGTGGAAAAAGTGCAAGAAGAAATCACATTATATAAATTATACAGTTTACAGATCCACTTACATATATCAGCAACGACAGGTAAAAGATTTATAGATGCAACTACAAGGAGAGAAAAGTGGCCTTTCGCCTTCGAAGAATCAAAAGACAACTCAAGCATTATGCTTTCACTGCTTGAATATCAAGGTGGTGTGAATCAAATTTTCATCTAGGAGTTTTTAGCTTATAATCTGTGAAACCAGTTATTCTACTTCCCAACCCATTTGTCGGGCTCTTTGTTCCCACAGGGCCGTAACTTTCCTCTCCTTTCTCAGAAATGCTTCAGCTCGCTCTCTGGCCTCCTCGCATGTTTCTGTGGCAGCATTACACTTTTCTGCCTCTCTTTGGTATTGGGAAGCCACCCTTTTTGCTTCAGCAAAGGTGATGTTCATGTGGCGAGCATGCTCTTCAGAAACAGCCTCCTGCAGCTTCAGCTCCTCTGTTAAGAGGTCCACAAACTGCTTCTCCATCTCTTCCTTGAGATCAGGGTCATTGCCACCACAATCTGTGCCACCAACATAATTTACATAATGCACATAGGACAGTGGTTTTATTTTTCTTAGAGATAACAGGAGAAATTACCACAAGATAGAATCTATGCATTAGAGAAAACAATGAAATGAAGTTTTTTCCCAGGTTAGAAAAACAACCATATTGGAAATAAAATTGGAACAAATGGCAGAAATGAATAATTTTGTAGAGTTAACATTTGAGTTGACAGAAGAGACTGTAACCTGTGACTGAGAGATTGGCCAGACCTGCAAAGAGGAAAAGCCAAAAGGTGAGCTTAGTATGATAGGTGTGAAAAAATGAAAACTTTCTAAGTCCCAGAAAATTGAACATTGTACTTTACACTTTAAAGAGGAAAAGCCAAAAGGTAAGCTTAGTATGATAGGTGTGAAAAAATGAAAACTTTCTAAGTCCCAGAAAATTGAACATTGTACTTTACACTTTAAATCATGGGCAATATAACAAGCAAGAAAGTATTTAACTCAAGGACATGAACATCAAGGGGAACATCACAGCAGATACTCCATGAAATTTGAAAGCTGAATCAACCCTTTGGGAAACAGTATCATAACAATGTTCTATTCTACAATAACAAGGAAGTAGCCTCTTCTCAACTTATGCAAAAGTTCTTCCCACTTCTAGAAAATAAGTTCCATCCAATCCAAAAAACAGCTTAAGAGCAACCCCAGGAGATTCTCAACTTTGCAGCAAAGAATGAGACTACAATTCCTATAATTAAAGATCTAGCATTCGGATTCTAAGTTTCTTGTCTCTGTTTTTACTACTAGCCAGACGGAATTGGACCAACTTTCACATATATGCTATAAAAGAGGAATCCAGTATAACAATCAAGTGATATTAGTACTTTCATAGCAATTATTTGGATCAAAGAAGAGATATTTCCAATCAAATCTCAATAGTCAACAACCAAAATTTTAAAGCATTTCTTCTTCTAATCTCCGACATGCCAGGTCAGTTCCTTTAGCAATCAATGAATGGATAGTGGAGACATAAAGATAAACCACAGAGCAAATTTCATCTGCCTAAACACTAATGCCATCTTGAACTGGCACTACAACTGCTAGCATAATCCTTTTAAAACATAGGTATCTCTCCTTGTAGCATTGGAGATATTATTAGAAATGAAGAAGCAGAAAAAAAATATATATACACACACATGTGGTGATAATGTTACAATTAGTTCACACTCCATATGTCAGATTTGCAGAATTAGTCATAACTCCATATGTCAAAACACCAAGGCACACAACAGTTAGTCTGCATATGTCTGGCATATGTCCACTTCTTACTTTACATCATGAAGTCAACAATAAAATCAAGCATGGCTCAAGAAATTATAAGAGATCCAGGTTCTAAGTTATCTGCATCTTCATTTCAGTAAATACTCTAAAAGGACTCTTGTGCATTAAGGAAAAAATGTAAAGGAATAATGAGAGACTTAAGACCTTGCCCATACAAGAAAACATGTAAGAGGTGTGAGAAAATTAGACCAAAGACGGGAAACTGAATACAAAGGGATACCTATTAAATCAAAGAAGAAAGACATGAAAAATGGAAACTCCTTGAAATGCAAATTGGAGACAAAAATGGAAAAGCCTAAAAGGCGGAATCATGACGCTGTCAAAAGTATAAACATTAAACCTAACTAGGTTTCACCTGAGTATACATTCAAATACTAATACCAATAAAGAGAGAGTTCAGGTTCCAAAATTACCAATAACAATAGATCAACCATGAAATCAAAGAAACTAGTACCTGTAATTTTCTAAAACTCAACAAACAATCAAACTGTAATCTATACTTATCTAAGATTACAGCTTATCAATAGCTAGGCAAAGAGATAGTTCAGGATCCAAAACAAAGATCAGCAACAGATCCAATAAAATTCATAAATTTGACAGAATGGGTGAAACGTCTACCATAAAATTCACTCAAATCAAACATAGGATCAAACAAAGCAAAAAACTTGGACAACCCAGAACATCAAATTAACAGGAAAGAGAGAGTAGAATACCTGGAACAATCTTG